AGGAAGATGTATGCCAGGCGCGTCGCAGCGTAACAGTGTTTCGTGAGATATCGCGAAGCCTGTTACGCGAGACGTGGTCTGGCGTACATCTACCTAGTTTAAATAATATATCATCCACGTAAGGTAAGTCTAGCTATCAACGTAAAGTAAAAGAACTTTTACGTGTTTATTGTCATTGTTTTGTATTGGCTGAGCGATTAGCGAAGCCTATTACTCCACTGATGATCAAAAAGTTTCGCGTCTGTTTGTCTGTCTGTCTGTCTGTCCGTCTGTCTGTCTGTCTGTTTGTCTGTACGCACGATAACTCGAGAACAAATTGAGCTAGCGACCTGGGATTTTCAGGGTCGTTTTGTATCATAAAACGACAGATCGAGTTCGAAGAAGAGCATTCTAGCTCAAAAATTGGATTTTTAAGGATCGAAAACCACAGGTACTTCTACTTCAAAAAAATTACGTTACGACCCACTTCTTCAAAAATTATAAATAAATCATATACAACGATACTGTGTTTAGAAACTTGATTTATCTTCGTCAGAAACACTGTAACGATAACACACGTAAGAGGCGCCAAACGCTCATTCTCTCTTTATTTGTCGTCGGTCATGTGATCCTACCAGAGTCCATTGCATGTTCACGACATTGAAATTGATAAACCAAATATTGATATAATAACATTATTCACAATTGAATTAAAAAAAATTATTGTAAACATTTAAAAATTAAATTTACAGTTCTACTATGATGATATATTCAAAGATAGGCCATATAAAGTGCAGTCACAGGGCCACTTAGAATGCTACCGATCCATCGCCGCCTAAATTTCAAACATACATGCAACAATAGACATTCCCTGTGAGCTCTTCTTTACCTTCAGCTGTGGTGAAGTTCCAGTACATTTTTATATATTGAGATAATGTGGAAGAAAACATGAATATTGATATAGAATGCATGAGCAGCGACGAAGAAATGAAGACAGAAATTTACAACAGTCTCTATCCAGCACCTTGCAAAGACCTTGATGTGAAATTAGAGAATCTATTAAATGCGGCAATGCGGCCCCAATGATTAGATTATCTGGGGAAATTGACTTTAAGAATGAGCACTTACACCAGAAGCTCTTAAAAAGAGGTGGAAAACTCTACGAAAGACTAAAATGCAAGGAATGTTCTGGATCGCATCAATTCTATGTTGCTGGTAGGTCCACTTCCATTTTACATTAAAAAAATTATTTACACATTTACTTTTAATAACAAAACTATTTCATTTCAACAGGAGGATATGCAACCTATTTATCTAATATGACAGACTAATACGATGACATTGATGTTTTTATTCATTGCACATCAAACTTATGCATGAGGAACATAGAGCTAACAAATTGCTACAGAACGACAAACATCAATGATACTACAACTGAATTTAAGGATGAGCTGAAACCAAGCATTCAGTTTATTCAAGTAAGTAGTATTATTAAAAATTCAAACAACTTTCAGAAATTAATTTCAGAAATTTACTAACATATATTTTTTCGAATACAGGTAAACTTTGACCTGAATGTAATCAAAGAGCAGCAAAGAACACTTCTATTCAGAGACCTCATGGGAATGTATGTGATTTCTAAATTTGATTTACCAATCTGCCGAGTAGCTGTCATATCACCACTGGCAAAAGGAGTAAAGAAAGGATCAAGCATAGTTTAGTATTGGGGTTACGGGAGAGCCAAGATCATGTGAACAGCAGAACTCATGAGTGGTAAATGGCGACGAGTCAAAGGCTCGCGCCTCTATTTATTCAGTGTTTGGTATAACAAGAAGAACAAGGCGATCGTAAAACAATTAAATGGTTCAGGGGTCTGAGTGTAGGTGTCGCCTCCATAGTGATCACTAGTGGCCGTGACTGAGGGTATTTTGCTGTAACCTGGTTAGGTTAATGTTACCATAATACTACACTACTCCCTTCTTTTAGAACCCTTCTCTAAAAAAAAAAGCTCAGAAAATTTTTAACAATCACAAGAGCTTCGCCTTGAACTTCATACAATACACTTGGACGTTAACGTACAATTTGATTGAACTGACTTTACTTTTAAACATTGTTGATGAATAAATGAACAAATTCTAAATAATTTCAACTTAATTAAACCTGTGAACTTCCACTTTGCCAAACCTACGGCTTATTCAAACCTACTAGTCTGGCTCGGTGTGCAAACAAAAAGAAATTGACTTCCCTCCTAGCATGTAGCAATGCATTAGTATGATTCCTTGCCGGACCACTATCAACTTGTTATCAATAGTAGTTCAAAAATCCATTCAGGAGATCAACCACAGAGTTCCATGCCTTTAAAATTCAAATTAATCTTGCTGTGGGGGAAAGGTGTACCAGTGTACCTGAAACACACAACTAGACTAGACCTATCTACGTGACACCTTTGATTTTTGAACACTACCACGTTTCTTATTAACCTCTTGAAGGTTAAGAATACTTAACTTTAAAAATAGAAATTCTCCGCGTGTCTAATCCAGCGTTGATCTTCCTCTGCCTACGTTGATTGGTGATTTCCTTTGATTCCAGCGTTGTCTTGAGTCTTGACGTGTTCAATTATTCTGGTTCTTTTATCCAATTCCTTGGTTTAGAACTTTATTTCTCGGCTAGTGCTGTTCTGCTAACCATCCTCTCTCTCCGCCTGCTCAGAGTGCTCTGGCGGCGTTCCTCTTTTATTCTCATACTCGGCCACGCGCGCCGCTCATGCGCAGTGGGTCACCCCCACTCCTTCCTTTCCCCCTCCTTCCGTGGAGGACGCTTCGCTTTGACGCGAACCCCACCAACGGCCACTCGCCATCTTGTGTCACTCTGATTAAGACGCTCTGCCGTTGCTCCCTTTTCTCTCCGTTTCTCTCTGCATCTGTTTAAAAATGTTGCATAGTGTAATTATTAACCATTACACCGGCTACAACTTGGTCGACCAGGCCGTGCAGAAAGTAAGAATTAGTCTTTAAATCTTTTGTTTCGCCTAGGTTTTAAATAGCCGCTTGAGCGTCTCGGGGACTTAACTCCTGTGTCTTTGTAGATTTGTGGACGTTGCATCCAGGCCACTACAAGGAGCACTTGGTGGATTGTGTTTGATCCATCCTATGTCCGGTTGGACGTGTATATTCCTGAGATTGTGTTGCTTCAGCCTGACTTTTACAAGTGTGGCTGCTGTCTGGGAAACTGTGCTGTAAGTTCCTTTCCGCAATGGTCCTTTTGTTTTAGCCGATTTCCAGTTTATCTGTTTTTATTTGTCTAACTTTCTTCAATCTACGCTATGCCCCAGATCCCGCCTCCCGGCGTCCATTATCCTCTGGAGTTTGACTTGCTGGATTATCTCTTGGACGACCGTGACGTCGCCGCCGTTTTTCAAGATGTTGACCATGGGGTCCCAGAAGTTGAGGTCATCGATCTCGTCGACGACAGCGAGGACGACGAGGATGTGGTTGTCCTAAGTAAGTTTTGCCGCCCATTTTTGTCTTTGTGTCCTTCTCGCGGCTCGATCATGTTTCTAGTTGTTTTTATGCATTATCACCATGCTTTTGAGGGTGATGAGGCCGTTTTCGTGTGTGGACCGTGTGTGCCTGTTGCTCAACCCGAGTTTGGCTTAACCGGCTCATATCTGTATAAGATTCAGAAGTGCACCTTTGAGGAGCTGTATGATCCTCACAGTCTCTTTGTGCCCGTTGTCTTCGCTGGGTTTTAGTGTGTGTCTTTTCTTCCCGCTTTTAGCTGTTGTTTTTGTTATTGTTGTTTCAACGTCTGTTTGTTTTCCTTTTGCAGACTGAGATCTCCCGCTTCCACGGCGCTGCCCCCACCCCCGCCTTCTTGGTGGAGGGGTGAGGTTAGTTTCCCTTTCTTTTGACCGCTTTTCGTTTTTTTCTGGTTTTAGTTCAGGACAGAGGTACAAGGAGTTCAGGAATACACCGGGAATACACGGGACCCTTGCACTTCTCATACGTCGCAAATACTGATGGTTGTAAGGCCAGCAAGGGAGCCAAGTTTAGTATCTATCATTTTTTCCTGAGGATAAATGAACTGCCTCCAAACCTACGTCAGAAGTCCATCTCTATCGCTGGTATATTTCACTGTAAGAATTTTTATCGTAAATTTACGAACAAACACCTGTTACATTTCCAACATGAACTTTTCGTAAATTGTAGAAAACGAATACTTGTTAAATGGTGAACAGTTCGTAACTTAGTCTGCAGGTGTGGAATGAACACACTCGTCCATTTTTAACGTGCATTGGAGTTCTGACGCCTAATTACTCTTATTCGCAATAGGTGACGAACAATTCGTTTTTCACCTACGAGCAGTTCGAATTTTCGACTTTACGAACACTGATCGTCAAATTCAAAAAACAAACTGTTCGTGAGAAATTTTATCGTGAAATTACGAAAGCTGCTAACAGTGTTGGAGATAAAGGAGAACCCCATATGAATGCTTTTCTTAAGACAATAGTGGAGCAGGAACTGAACTCCCTTGCCACAGAGTGTGTTCAGCGGCGCAGAGATGGTAATGAGGAAAATGAAGTCAATGTGAGCAGATTTTTTTCACACTATATCTGCGGCGCCGCCTTCAATCACACGCCCCCCAGGAGGGACGCAACTGAATAGGCAGCAGTGTTGCGGGTTTCCCTACTCTTTACACCCGTTAGGGCCATGGCCTCAGCGGCCATATTGAGTATGCAGTCCACCACACTGCTGCGTACTCACAGTTTAACTGTACTCTCGTAGAGTTCGCCAGTTCAAGCAGCAGCCTGGTTGTAACGCCGTAGCTGTATCCCATTCTATTCAGGCAGTGGGCTCTCGCGTGCCCCCCTGCGACCGCGTCGTTATAACCCTTTTTGGCTGAGCGATTAGCGAAGCCCATAACTCCACTGACCGGAAAAGTTTAATTCTGTTTGTCTGTTTGTCCGTCTGTACGCACGATAACTCGAGAAAGAATTGAGAGAGCGATCTGGGAATTTCAGGGTCGATTTGTATCATAAAAAGACAGATCGAGTTCGAAGATGAGCACTCTAGCTCAAAAATTGACTTTTAAAAAAAATCAATAACCACAGGTAACAAAATATTTCTTTTTTCAAATATTTTTGGCTAAGCGATTAGCGAAGCCCATTACTCCACTGACCGAAAAAGTTTCATTCTGTTTGTGTGTTTGTGTGTTTGTCTGTCTGTCCGCACGATAACTCGAGAACGAATTGAGCTGGCAACCTGAAATTTTCAGGGTCGTTTTGTATCATAAAAAGACAGATCGAGTTCGAAGATGAGCATTCTAGCTCAAAAATTGGCTTTTAAAACAATCAAAAACTACGGGTCGCAAAATGTATTTTAATCATATATTTTTTTATGGGTTCCTAAGGGGTAAACCGTCAGAGAAGAGCCCTACGGGCGAAAATTTCGTCCGTTTGGCTCTATCTTGTACCGTTTAGGTGCCAGGGGGCATTTCTTGACAAAAATGAGGTGAAAATGATCAAATGGTCGATTAAATCGTTAAAAAGACTTCATTTCGAAAAATTGTATATACACTTTTATTACCCTGTCTCGGGTGTCAGCGCCGCAGGCCTAGCTATATGTGCGCCAGGCGCGTCGCAGCGTAACAGTGTTTCGTGAGATATCGCGAAGCCTGTTACGCGAGACGTGGTCTTGCGTACATATAGCTAGTTATATGGTGTCCTAATGGGTAACTCGTGAAAAAAGAGCCCTCTGGGCGAAAATTTCATCCGTTTCGATCTATCTTGTACCGTTTCGACGGTATGGCGCATTTCTTGGCGAAAACAACGTGAAAAAGA